TATATATATATATATATATATATACGTCCAGATTTCTCAAAATAAATCAACTTAATTTAGAATCATTTTAGGTAAATTTGTCCCATAACCGCATCCCTACTGTGTTTTGAAGCAGCTGATATTTCAAAAGCCTTAGAAGGAGGAGCCTGGGAGAGGATGGGTTCAGGGGGAGGAGCTTGTGTGAAACTGTTTATGGTGACATAAATCTACCGACGGCTTGAGATGCGAAATATAAATGAGCCCTCCCCTCCCTCTGATTCTCTTTCTGGGTAGAAGGGTGACGTCATCCAGCCTCCGCATGAATGAAAACGTCCTGGCAAGGACACAGCTGTCTTGTTTAAGCTTGCACTTCATTTCAGACGTCTTTTGTGCTCATTTAAATAGAAATACACACAACCACACACTTCTAACAATAGCCAGGCATCAAAGGTGATCCGGGCTCTAGACGCAAGTTTGTTGGAAAACAAAATGAATTCTTGTCTTCATTGTGCGAGATTTTTTAAAATAAATTGACTACTCAAGGACAATTTTATGTTTCGGATATTTTGGAGCCCAAACATAAATAGTTTAGTCTGGCTCTCGTGATTATTTTCTTTATTCTTTGGAGAGCTGTGTTGATGAAATAAGCCCCACCGTCTGTAGCAGATTTCCCCCCTTAAAGCCCAACCGCTAAAGTCAAAGCTGGACCTATTTCTTTTTGACTCTCTTTCTCCAGTTTCTATCCTAAAATTTGGGCTGATTTTGAAACAGCAGGTGCGCCCACATTTACCCGATCAGTGTCCATATGGCACTGATGTGCAGCATGTTCACTGAGAAAGAAAGGGTCGTGCTAGTAGATAGACAGAAAGAATAAAGAGGGGGAATCAGGAGCCCATTTCCTTCTTTCTAGAATAAAAACCCCACATAGATTGTTCAGTGATAAAGTTTAGTGAAGATTTATATTTCTGAATGATTAGTTTAGTATGCACAGTGGGCAGTTTTTACATTTCTTTCGTTAGAAATAGGGGATGAAATACTAACATTGAATTACAGGAGAGGCCATACATTTAAGGCATTGTTATTTCGCAACCACATCTTGCACAATGAGTTTCCAACAATCACTCACTAGATATTAGGTTTGTTTTGTTTGATTGAAACATGGGACTTGTTTGCATGATAGTTTTAAGACTGAAGGCCCTTTACCTTTTTAATCAAGTAATGTCCTCGTTGTGGCTCACTCTCACGGCCCTGTCCCTTTGTCATCCTCACAGCTGCCGAGTCAGTTAGGAAAGGAGCCCACTGGGAGAAAAGGTCGGAGGTCAAATGGTGATGGACAGGAGGGTAAACCAAGAAAGAAGAGAAGCGAGGCAAAGGTTTGTTTTATATATATATATCTATATATATATCTATCTATCTATCTATCTATCTATCTATCTATCTATCTATCTATCTATCTATCTATCTATCTATATCTGTGAATGTCCTCATACTTTGCCATTTTAAGTCCTTACCAAAGAACCATCACGAAGACAAAGAAGACTATTAATGTGTTCTTTTAATATTCAAAATGAACACCAATACATTCCTGCTTTTTGTCAAATAAACACAAAGTCACAAGCCTTAACTGTAGAGTAATGCATTAATAGTTTCCCATAGAATAATTTTATATCAATAAAAATGTGTCATTTTGTTTACTTAAGCCTGTTTTAGATGTTAGCGTGATTTTAATTCCGTGCATAGTGCTCATCACACACATCTACTCGACATGAACAACGTGAACTTATCCTTTAAATAGATAATAATAATAATATAGAAGACAGCTGAGTGAATCTGACCCCATGTGTTTCTCTGTTATTGTTCCACAGCAATCAATGATGCTGGATGCAGATGGAAGCAGCCTGTCGCCGGGAACAAAGCCTCACATCTGTGAGCACTGCGCCGCCTCCTTCAGAAGCTCCTATCACCTACGCAGACACGTTCTCATCCACACAGGTAGCGAAGCGTCCACACGTCCCCTATGATGCTCATCGTTTCTCCTTCATATGCTTCTTGATGTCGGAGAGTTCACAAAGAAAACGTTAATTACATTATTCTGCAATCTGAAGAAACTCAAACCCGTGTTATCATTACTGCTTGTCTTGTCTTCAGCTAGTTCTCAGTGTACTTGATAAGAGTCCTGAGGTAAACGCAGCTTTTTGCATAATATTTAGGTGGTTTTGAAATGATCCCTGGCCTCGCGTGTTCCCCTAAACATTAATTAATAACAAGGAGCCGAATCACTGCCCTGTGTTTTGCTTTTTAACTTTAACAAACAGTCTTGTCAAAATGACATTATTGTGATGGAAACTGAGGGCAGCACGACCTGGAGTAGCGCAACTCGTTTTTGTTTTCTACTCCGACGCTCTCGGCTCCAGTGCTGAATGTTAGCAAAGTCAGCTAAATTACTGCTGGTACAGCCTCTTCTACTCCCGTCCGGGGTTTTCATGTAACAGAAGATGAACACGGGCATTCAAACGCGAGTCTTACACGTAAAGCACGAGGCTAATGTAGGCTGTGGCGGGAGGCGAGTACGGGGCAGCTGCTCTGCAGGTCAGCTGTAATTTAATTATCAGTAAAGGAAATAATATCTTGCTCATAATCGTAGGTATGGAATTTTGAAGAAAAAAATGTAGTAGTAATGTTTACTGTGTTTAAAATAAAACAATCTATAAATAAGTAGCTACATATTTGCAACCATGATGCCTGTGATAAAACATTATAAAGCCTGAGTGTTATTTATTGTTTTGTACCACATGTTAAGGCCTGGCTCCTTCTGACTTGCCACAGGATTAATGTCCTCATTTGAGAATCACTCTTGTTTATCACTCTTGTGAATTTCAGTTTGTGCTCGATTCCCAGCTACTGTACTGTATAAGAATCATTTTATAGCATTGAATTAATTTATGTAAAAAGGTTTTCAAATCTCAGACTCTGTTGAATTAATAGTTATTCATGCACCAAAATAATTAACTGTGTTCGTATTGTCGACGGACTAAAAGACCGGATTTCAGAACGGGATGAACACCTGTGAAATACAATGCAATAGCCATGCAACACGTACTGCTTTTGGTGAAGAGTAGGGGACGTGATTGGATTCAATTGCATTGTTTTATGAATAAGTGAACCATTCTACAGAAGGATAACGACACAGGGATGCAACACTGTAACCGTATAAATCTCTGTGGCTTTGTTTCAGGTGAAAGACCCTTCAGATGCAATCAGTGCAACATGAGTTTCATTCAGAAATACCTTCTCCAGCGACATGAGAAAATCCACAGTGGTGAGTGTTTTAAAGACAACCAATCCGTGTCAAATCTGATTTAATCTGCGAGTCATTGTGTGCGTCTAATCGCAACTAACCTTGAGCATCGCTGTTCTTGTAATGCAGGAGAGAAGCCATTCAGCTGTGACCAGTGTAACATGCGTTTCATTCAGAAGTACCACATGGAGAGGCACAAGAGGACTCACAGCGGAGAAAAGCCGTACAGATGTGAGACCTGCCAACAGGTCAGTGAGCTGCTTAGTGTCCCGATTATCAAATGCGATACTTTATGCATCAAAAGCTCTAAAACAACATTTGGTGTTATTCCCTTCAGTATTTTTCTAGGACAGACCGACTGCTTAAGCACAAGCGAACCTGTGGAGAAGCCATAAAGAAGGGAATGGATCCTGGGTTGATGGACCTGGGTTGTGTAGACTTGGGACATGGCAGCTATGGAATCACTCAGGGAAATGTTGGGAGAAAGAGGGGAAGGTCCAAAAATTCTGGTGAGGGAGGGGAGCGCAAGAAGAAGAAGGGGGATGGAGGAGGGTTGAGGGTACCGCATATTCATGGTGATGTACCTGACGGCTACAGCATCCATGATTACTCGATGGAGAATCAAACGGTATCTTCCTCTACTGAACCGGGACCCAGCATGCAGCAGGGTCACCACGGCCGGGCCCCAAAGATGGCCTTCAAGAAGGCTAACCGCAAGAGCCTGGATAAAGCGGTTCTGGGACAGGCCAAAGCAGGCTCGCTGGAGCAGAGCGAGGGCATGGATGGTCTCGGCCTCATGCACGGTAACGGGGCAAAAGTAGGCCCCGCCAGCAGCAACTATGACGACGCCATGCAGTTCCTCAAGAAACGACGCTACCTTAATGCAGCTAACAATGCAAACTCATCAGGGCCGGTGGTGGCTGGAGGAACCAGCAGTGAATATGATGTCGGCGTTGGTCACTTGTCTTCCCAGCAGTCAGTCATTCAGGGTGTCGTTTCCAGCGTGATGGACAGCGACGCGCCTCTAAATCTCGACAAGTCCGGGATCCCAGACGAGGTGCTGCAGAGCCTCCTCGACCACTACACCCAGAAACCGGACGGCTCGCACCACGACGTTCACTTTGACATCAGCGACCATCACGTGGAGCTGCACCCCGCCTCCGCAGACTGCTCTGACATCGGCCACAACGCCGACACCTCCAGTCCGTCCGGAGACAAGATCGGCATGATGCACGAATACTCTCGCTTCCTGCTGCAGGCTTTGGAGCGCACCAGCCACAGTGCCAGCTTCCCCCTGGGCCTCGGGCCTCCCGCCTCAGGACCGTTCACCAGTTCCCACCCGGGAAATCCCCTCTACGCTGACAAGAACATTTACACTACGTCCCCGATGGAGTGCGGGTTTGGCCAGTCGGTGGCCTCGCCTTCGCTGCCCTCCTCTGTGCCAAAGTCTCACTTTGCAATGCTGACGGGATCCTCGCCGCAGCACGGCTTCCACCTGAGCGGCCTTGAGGCCTCCACACACCAGCAGCTCACCCCTTCTCAGGAGCTCACCGACCAGATGGAGAAGCAACACTCCTCCACTCCCCCTTCCTCCTACCAGATCAGCCCATCTGACCTGAGCACCCAGAAGGACCAGGCTCCGATCAAGAACGGTACGGTGGTCTACCCGCTGGCCGCCTCGCAGGATTTGGCCTCTCTGGACTCCTCCAAGCCTTCCTACCAGATCGAAAACTTTGCCCAGGCCTTTGGCTCCCAATTCAAGTCGGATGGCCGTGGCCTGTCTTACGGCACCGACTCTAGCGGGGAGGTGGATCACAGGATACGGACGCCTGTGTCTGAATTCTCAGGGTATAGTAGTTTGTTATCTGATGTCAATGAGCCAGTAAGTACAGGTTCCAAAACTACAACAAGCCAAAGCTACAGATGAGAGCCTGAGAGGGAGAGAACACGTGTTAAATTCTCAGTTTTATTTTTTTGTGCTCCTATTTTATTATTATTATTATTATTATTATTATTGTTATTATTTTTAAGTGACATCTTTGTAATTATTCAGATTCTGGTTCTGTGCCCACTCCTCTCCCCACAATAAGCCCACAGGGCTTCCTGCAAATGCAATTCTTTTTTTTTAAGTATGTTATTTTTAAGTTAAATATGTATTTACTGTTTGTTCTCGTCATATTAGTGGCATTAAGTCTGGTCATAACTCATGAACTGAAAGTACTTTTTTTAAATACGTGTAGCGTAGTACAGGACATATTTCTTTTACAATGAGGTGTTTGAGCAATCAACGTTACAATTGTAAAACAATAATGAGAATAACCACGATGGCAGGGAATAGCCCAGTGTTGAAATAGCAAAAAAAAAAAAAAAAGTTGTCTGTTACAAGGTTTAAAGTATTACTCAGGAAAAAGTGTAAAAGGAGAAGCCTACGAGGTGCAGTGAGCGCTCTTTTCAGAAGTTCGTGTGTGACTTCAAAGAGGATTTTTCTTATGTTTTATTACTTGTTGAATGAGTGTGACATAAACAGACTGCTGCCAGCTCACTTGAGCACTGAAAACACTTTCTACTTGGCTATATAGAGATTATGGTACTTCCGTGTCAATGTGAAACTCATGTTTTCTTCAATAAGGGCCATATATATATATATATCTATATATATATATATATATATCTATATATATTTATAAGAATATATATTAATGTAAAATAACAGATTTATTCATTCTGGGGAGCTGCCAGTTGAAGTCGAGGAAGAATGAGGGCTGGTTCGGGGCTAAATGTTGTCCTTGGTATATTTTTGGAGAACAAAAGTGATGTTAGGACTTTTCTTTGGCCAATAGAGGTTGCTGTTGGGCAACGAAAGAATGGCCTTCCCCCTTTTCCTGCCCTCCGCTTCTTCCTCCGTTCTCTTATTTCTTTAAAAGAATCCAGTTAGCACTTTGAGCCGCTTTTCTTACATTGCGTAAAGTACCTTGTCGGATCAAGGAAGCTCAAACATCAGGAATGGACTGGCTTATTGACGGAGACATTGTCGTTGTTTGGGCATATGCAGACCGTGTCTCTGGGTTGAACATATTCTGGGTGTATGATGTGGATACCCTTTGTTTGGGTGGCATGGTTTATATGGGGATGGTGGGCGGGGAGGGGTTGGCGGGGTTAACATTTTCTCTTTCTCCTTACTTTTAGGGAGGGTTTAGATTGGGAGGGAGGGAGGGAGGGCGAGCTTTTAAAATAAAGTGACATTTAATCGGGATAATGTAAATGTAATTCAAATCTCTAGTTTTAGTTTTGACTTGTTACCCAACTTAGAAGCTTTGCGTTCTTATTGAATTTGATGACAAATGTGTTAGTGATCAAGTATTTTCTTCAGCTGTTACTGAGAGGCAGCCATATGCATTATGAGCAAAAAGGTGGCTGACCAAAAAAATGTGCACGCGTTTTAGATATTTCACGCGTGCTGGCAGCACCGAGCATATTTGTCCCGTTAGAAATTGGGTGCCTATTCCTGAGAAGTGCAGGCTGCAAGATATTGTCTAGTAAATGTTAAATGTAACTTCTTGCTGATCTTTAAATGTATTTATGTACAATTCTTTTTGTAAAGACAAGTACGCTGTCTTCCATAGCTGCAACTGGCCTTGAGTGCTAGAAATGATATCACTCTGCTGAATGAGTCTTTAAACCCCTTTACGCCCCCAACGGCCTGTTTTAAGCAATCATGAAACATGGCAGAGTGAATGCTGTAATATCTTAAACGATATGTTGCCATGCTGAGCGGTTGAGGCGTTTAAATAGGATTTGCCTCTCATATACCTCATATCACAGTAAATCAGGACAAAGGAGTGAAGGTTTGATGTATGTAGCAGAGATGCTGTATGTATAAATAATGTCATGTTTCTGTGCGACTAGTTTTGTGTACATGGCATTTATGTGACCCACTAAGACGTTGTTGCTTAAGGGTTCCTGTAAATGTCTTACGCCGACCAGTGTTCAGTCTCATCAGTTCCACCTCCTCCACATCTAATTTGCCATATTGTTTCAATATGCTTATTGTTTACAAAAAAATGACAAAACACTACATCTTAACTGAATTCTGACCCCTGTATAATTCTTTTACTATATTTCTTTCCCCCTTTTTTTTTTTTTTTTTTTTTTTTTTTTTATCACCGCCAAATTTTGTAGCTGATGATATCTTCCATTTTTATGTTCTTCCAGCTCCTTGTGACGTGTTTCACAAGACTGTACTTGTCCAATGAATTTAAAACTGACTAGGGAGAAAACGATAAAAAAAAAATAAAAAAAAACTGTTCTCAAGAGTTCTTGTCGTCCTGTATGTGGGAAGTGGTGTGAAAGATGTTGATACTGAAGTTAGATTGGAGCCATTCATAGTAGCCACAGTGGGCATTCGCTTACACACTCTGCATATAAGTGTTTGGGAGAACATATGAGGCTTACTGAAGCTTAATGTGGCTGAATGTATTCCACCACTGGGGGGTGATGGTGTTCGTCTAGAAGTGAGAAGCGGTCGGCCTCAGTTATCAAACGATACAGTTCAAATATGCTTTAGTGCTCATCTAGAAATGATGACTCCCTTTTAGCGGTTGTTTGGCTGCGTCTCTGCATTTCATCGACCAGACAAACATGGACTTTAGCTTCATAATAAGTTCCCAGTTTCTAAGGCAAGTGTGTTCTACAGAGGTGTGCCACCCACTCGGCTCATTCAATAGCTCCTTCTGCGTAAAGAAATGTAGCTTCTTGTTTAGGACGAGGGCTTAATGGACTGTATGGTTTACATTCATTCATTTAACCTCATAAAAGCGATCTGTGAGCTGGTGTGTCAGGATGCAGCACGAATACTAAAACATCCTTGTTCCAGTTAAGTACTTCCCCATCACCCTGCATTTTTTTTACATTTTTTTCGTTTCAATTATTTCCTTCAAGATTAACGCAGTAAATGTTAGTGGTTATGTAAGCAAACCATTGGGAAAATAGATGAATACATTTATTATTCGTCTGTGGTGAGTCTCACTGAATTATTTCAACAGTACTACTGCTGAGCAAGAGCAAGCATGCAAAACACACTAAATAAAGAAAAAAGGTGACACCAAAGCAGACATTCTACAGTGTCAAGAGATAAATTAAGATCTTCTCGGACCATGTCAAAGAAATATAGATGAACAAGTGACTAAATATTACGAGAAGCCCCCAAATGTCAGTGCCCACCACCCAGAGAGCTACCACCACTGCAACGTTTTGTCATTCTTTCATTTCCATTTCGTTATCTGTGTGTACGGGGAACTTAGATTGTGCTTCCTTAAATCAAAAAGAGAAGTAGGGTGTCAGCGTGGAAAAAAACAACCTGCGTGTGTGTTTTTGCTTTCAAACATGACTTTGCTTATCATTTCATACTTTATGTACTTTTGTACACACCCAAACTTGTGTAATTCAGTGCCATTCCCATGTTCAGTTAATAAATGACTGCATTTTCTATTGAATGTTGGGTCGATGATAAGTTTGTTTATTTTTGTCTAAACTTAGAACTGTCTGTGCCTCATCGTGAGTCGCCATCGAGAGGTGCATTGTACTCTTTGTTGAAAAATTGAGTAACCGTGCCATAAAAGTTAAAGCAAGAATGGTGCAGGTGTGACGCGATTTTATTAAGTAACCAAGGAGTTGTGTTGCTCAGTATGGATTGGGCAGTAAAACAGCACTCCTTACTCCCCGAGCTGAACGGTTAAAACTATTAGCTAGGCCTTCTGTGTCTCTGGTCTCTTTCTCCACAGAGTGGACGTGAGAGTGACGTGAATGATGTTCTTATCTTCGAAGCTGGGAAGAGGCTACATATTGGGTTGTGTACACAGCGAGATACTGAATGGGCAACAACCGCAATAAAAAGGGGGAGCGGGTTTTAATGATGCTGTAACATGAGTCATGAGTAAGATTAATTAAATAAGGAATGCAAATAAGTATTTTCTGTTGCACGATTGTTTGGCTCTCGGGGATATATGTCTGCTGGTTAGTCGGTCTGCTTTGGTCCAGAATGAAATATCTCAATGACTTTTTCATGGATTGCTTTTTAATTATGTACGTATCTCCAGAAGACAAATCCTACTGACTTTGGTGACTGTCTGACTTTTCCTCTTGTGCCACCATGAGGATGACATTTGTGGTTTTGAGTAAAATAGTCCAACTAATTAATGAATTGCAGTGAAATTTGGTTCAGACTTTCATGCCCCTTCAAGATTAATTCTATCAACTTTGGTAAACCCTTTGCTTTTCTTCTAGTGCCATCATCATGTGTGTCCAGTCCTTCCAATGCCTGCAAAACTGACATACTAACAAGCATCAACTGTTGCTAAGCCTTTTTCACAGCAGACATCTTGACTTTTCATAGTAGGAAAAGCTCAGATATTAAATTAGCATGCAGATGTTAGCCTTTCACTAGAAGCTCCACAGTGCTTTCGCACAGCCTCACGGAGCTGTTGGCATGTTTGTTAGACTTAGTCCATTTTTGTGTTCTTCTTGCAATCAGATAAAATCATGGTTTACAAGTTAAAAATTGAATTTTTATGACTTTGATGTTGTCCACTTAGAATATTTGGTCATCGTTAAAGAAGCAGTATGTAAGACTGATATGTAGCGGTGAGGTTGGCAAATTGCAACCAAATAAATACCTCTCTGCTCACCCTTCTCTTTTCAGAATGTCGGAGAACTACGGTGGCTTTCAGGTAACGTAAAAAACATGAAAAGGCTGTTTCTAGACCCAGTGTTTGGTTTGTCCCTTCTGGGCCACTGTAGAAAACATGGTGGTGAAACATGGACTCTTGTGAAGAGGACCCACCCTGTATGTAAAACAGCAATTCTTAGTTTCAAGTGATTATAAACTAATGAAAGCATAGTTATTAATATTATATTCCATTTCTGCCAATAAATCCCCCTTAATCCAACACACTGCTCCTTTAACTAATGTTATAACGTCTTTCTTGCTCTTTAGTCCAAAAAAAGTACAATATTTCATATAAAACATAATTATCTCTAATGTTAAGCATGCCAAACCTTTCCCCTAGAATCTAGTCCTGAAACAAGACATTGTGTCAACACTTCAATTAATCTTGGTGGTTGTCAGGCTAAAAATAAACTCAAGGTATTGAAATATGTTGCAAAGTAGTCGAGTATTTGCATGAGATAAGATCGAGGTGTATGTGTTTATGCACTGCTGTATTTTTGTTTTGACTCATATGAAAGAGCGTCCCAGAGCACAGCCATAAAGGCTCTGCCATGGCAACATGGAGAATATGAATGCACAGTGAGTGAATTTGACTGGAAAATGTTTCATATGAATACATTGAACAGTTGAAAGGTTGGAGCGAGATATTAACCAGTGATGACATGATGCGCATGTAAAGTCCAAGCCTTAGTTAAACAATAACACAACCTGTCACGCATATACAGGCTCCAGAGGAAAAGTTCTCTCATATTAACTTTTACGGTATTAAATGCAATGTGAGCACTTTACTTAATTAATAGTAGTGTTTTGCTGTAATACACTGCACATATAGATGGTATAACATGAATGATGATGATGATGATGATGATGAATGAAAGATGTTTCATGATGTTCTGATCATTTTAAACTTGTGTGTTTGTGTCCTAATCACTACACACTGACTAATCCACTTAAGGAAACAAGCAATCATTCTTGATAAGAAGAGGAACATGTGTCCTTGATAATCTGTCAGGTTTCCATGATGTCGGCTGACTTAGTTCATAGATTTCTATTGGGCCGTCAACTATAATGTCAAAAAACAATTTTGCCACAGAGTTTTAGGGTTAATTTGATGTTATATATTATATTCCTGTTCATCTCATTTGTTTGCTTTTGTTCAACATGTACAATACCCAGTTATGTAATCCACAACTATGCAAATGTTAAAGCAGTTGTGTATTAAAATAATGACAATGCCCTCATACATCCAGTTTCCAAAGAATGATTCTTCCTTGAAAAGTAGCCTCTGACTGACTGTTTACTTCATATACTCTATTGGCACATAAGGAGTGGAGAACATTACACATAAGCAAAGAAAGGTGCAGAGACCGATCATAAATTCCCTGTGTATGAAAGCATTATGACTTTAATCAACAGTTATAGTTCTGTCCTTGAAGCAGGAGTTGCTCCTATGAGGACTTGACGTTTGAAAAACCAATATACTGTATGCTCAGATATGATTAGGTTATTAGGTTATGCAAGACAAGACTCAGGTGTTGACCCAGGATCTTTGACCACAGCTATTCTTTAGTCATTAAAAGCTGACACGGGTTTGGAGTGCTTGTGACAAAGAGCTGGTAATATATTAATTGCTCTAAGGCTAATTAATGTATTAGCCTTAGAGCAAAAGAACAGCATGCCCATTCTAATGCAATCGTAACCTGATGAACATTGGCCTTACCCACCTGAAAGATGTTGATGCTACAGTTTTCTCATTCCTTTCCACATTGTATCTGAGTGAAAACATGTTACTTGAAGTAGATCAGCTTGTATTAAATAAAGTGTCTTTGATACAGCTCGTCTGACAACCAGAAAACTCAATAAGCCAAATCACCTGGCACTGTTTGTATATCACCTCATTCATTTTGTGTGCCTCTTTTGTTCTTACTAGGACCATTAATGTAAGCCATCGCCATAATTGACATTACAGACTGCTACATGGTAACTGATGGGAGTGTTCTTCATAAATATCGAAAAAAAAGTGTTCTAAAATATCCCCAAAATACTGTGTGATCAGCAAAGGCGACAACTGTATTTTTGTATTGTTTTCACTATTTTAACAGAGGTGAATTATTGTTTATTACAGTTGTAGACCTTCATAATGTGAGATTCCACTGAGTTTGAGTTTTCATGTTTATAAACTGTCAGTGCCACAAACAGTGTCAGTGGTGGAGATCTCAAAATGTCATAAATAAAACCAAAAACTACATTATCTAGATGGCTGGATGCCACTTAAGTTAAGTAGGAAAAAAAAGTTTGTGATTGGGATAAACTGAAGTTTTGAGCACCCAACTCAAGCGGAACAAATAACAACGGTCACGTAACCATTCAAACAGAATACTTTTTAAAGAGCTGTCCTTGAATTTCCTAACAAAGCCCATTTAGCCTGAAACGATAGAGGCCATTTAGAAGTCCTCAATAATGACATGAGGAAAAGGGACGACATTGTTGAGGGTTTATTATGTTGTTATTCTGAATGAATTTGTACTCTTGTGTTCACATTTGTTTGGACAGAAAGAGGTTATCAGAAAAAAGAAAACTCTTAGAAGAGATATTAATGGCATACTTTTAAAAAGATAAATAAGCTTACCAGACTTGAGTCTTCAAACCCTGTGCCTGATGGTGACGCTGTTGGATCCTGCAGAAGACAAGAAAATTAAAAGTATATTAATTCCAAAATGTGTAGATGACTGTTAGTAATTGTAGTGTAACGTTCTGGGATTTGAGGGGAAAATTTAATTGAGATCAAGTTTCATATTTCATAAGGAAATACTCTCTATGATTGATTGGATTGGGGGTGTCATTGTGACAACTATTAACAGTAAATATGATAAGATCCGTCAAATACACAAAGCATTCTGAATTTAACTATTCTATATCTTTAATTTTTGCCCATTTGATCTGAGTTTGCTAATGTTAGGTTAGTAAAAGAGAAAAGAAACCTGCAATCCATGTTTGCTAACTAATTTTCCCATTTAGCTTTAGCTTTGTGTTTAATGCTAATTAGCAAATGTTAGTATGTTGTGTATTGAACATAGCATTTGTTCAAACATCAGATGTTAAAGAACATGTTAAAAATGACATAGCCTAACTAGCATCACCAGGTGATGCTAGTTAGGCTATGTCATTTTTAACATGTTAGCATGCAGCTCAAGAGTTATAAAATAAGATAATCCTTTATTAGTCCCGCAGCGTGGAAATTTACAGGATTACATCAGTATACAAAATAGTGCAAACAAGAGATATAGTAAAAAAACAAGATCAAAACAAGTATTATAAATAAGTAATAAAATAGTAAAGAATATTAACTAAGTAAAAAATCCACAATAACAGACTAATTAATTAGTTTGTCGTTTGTTCACATTTATTTTAGAGGGCATATTGCTGTGATATATGTCGTGTAATAGTTGCTAACCCTGCATAACTGCCCCTGGGCAAGGCACATACTTTGTTCACCCTTTGTAAACAATAAGCGAAGAACAGAAAATATATATATATTAATAAACATTTGTTGTACAGTAGTCTACTTCTGTAGTGTTGATGACAGGTTCCAGGACTGGTTCATGGCGGGAGGCAGAGCCGTGCAGCTCCACTACAGTAACGATGAGTGACAGGAGCGCCGGCCAATCAGAGGAGGGACTAAAGCTTTTAATGCTGTCGGAGGCTGAAGCTTCCAGTCTGAGCCACCTGTAGCAGCCAGCGAGCACACAGCGAGGAAACATCGTCCGTACAGCACCATTATCTTCACCGTTATACCGGCCGAACACGGGGCTTCTTAACCGGTCTGGTCCTCCAAACTCGAGCCGTTTTACAACCGAAGACTTGAAAGATGTTTCCCAGCAGTTATCTACCTGTCGTGTTTCTCCTGGGCGCTGTTGTTAAAGGTGAGTGAAGTTTACCTCCACACTGACAGAAAAATGTGAACTGGGTAAGTCATTTATAACACACGCTTTTATTCATTTGGAGTATAAGTTGAGCTCTGCATATACGTTTTCATATTACTTATTCACTTGTTTAACTGCAGTCAGCACACATTTAATAAAGCGAGGCCAGTGGTCCTTTCTACATTATAGTAAAAGTTCTGCTGTCAAAGGACTGCTTAGGCGAAGTAAAAGTACAGATGTATTATCAGAAAAATATAACAATGTAGCCTAAATAAAAGTGTTTTTTTTAATTTTTGCTTTTATTATTAGATTAATTGAATATTAGTTCACATTCTTTAATGTTTAAGTAGCATTTCTGTTGTAGGTGGTCACCGTGTATTTTATGGAAAATCTGGTACTTTTTGGCCTCATCTCTGCTCTTTTTGTCACTCTTCTTTGTGAGTTTTAGAATGCGTCTTGAATCATGGACCATGGTTAATATAGACCATTTATATTTCAGCAGGGCAACTAATATCCCACATATTTTACTACAGTTTTAATTCACAGGCAAACATCTCCCTCTGCCATGTATTATATATGCATGTATGCAGGTTTATCTTTTACTTTATCTTATGATTTCAGCATTCTCAATTTTTTGGGGTTTGTTTTTTTGACAACATTGTAATATATTTATAGAAATACAACATATCAGACTTATTCAAGAATAGAGCGATAAAGTATTTGGACTCATTATCATTGTTTGCTCCAGTGTTTACAGAATCCACCAACCTTTATCAAGACAAACACAGGTCCGGCGTTAACATGTACTTGAAGATAAGGAGTAACTACCTAGAAAATTGAATCAAATGAACAAATAAGTGTTACATTTGTTTCAGAAAGCCGACAAGGTAACACGTCTCATAGACACCCAATAAAGGTCAGGGTTGTGTGACATAGCTCAGGATGCATTCATGAGTAACCCATAAAACATTACCCGCATTCTGTTAGGGCATAAAATCCAGCAGCCATTGTTCAGCCTTTGCTTTAATTGCAGGCAGATTTAACTCCTCTTTCATAGAAGGGGGTAAACATTTTTTCCTTTTCCCCCCACTACTCATTCATGGGGTTTCCCCCCCCAAATAGTCTTAAACTCTGACTCATTGCTCCTTCGGTGTGACTCAAAGCTCTTTGGGGGCGGACAGATGCCAGCGAGGACGCATCGGTCAAACAACAGCCGGCCCCCTGAAGCGCAGCACACTCCACACACAAAGTTTACTCTGTGTGTGCATAAGCTGACCCCCTCGACAGCGTGGTGAAGCCGCCCTGAGGACTTTTGACGAGCTCTCCACTGTACAGACTCCCTACGCTTAGTTGCAATTAAATCCATTGGTCACCCTTTTGTTTTTATTATTATTTTGGACCATTATGAAGAAAAGCATGTGTTTCGAGATTCCATGTATGAAGACTGAGATTCATCACTGTCATGTGCCGGAGCCTTGCTGACAGCCTGCAGGCCATTTGTGTGGTTCCCTTCCTGTCATGAGGGAGACTGGGAGGTGACGGGCGCTCCAGTGTGGGGCAGCTTGACTGAGTGCGTCAGAAGTAGCAGTAAAGAGGTCCAGATGAAAAGACCTCCTGAGGGTGGTGATCCTCCTCCTCTTGAGTCTGGCGCCACATTTTCTTGTGCCCTCTGTAAGAAATCTTCCAGAGAGAGTAGCAGAGCACGTTTAATACCTCCCTCTCCTCTCTCTGCCACTGTTTCCTCTCCCGGCAGTGTATCATGTGTCACGTTTTGCTGGTTTGTCATCGTTAGGTCATTGTTAAAGCAGGCAAAGTCTGCTCTGGAGTTAACGGCCGGAATGTGATAGGACGCAGACTCATGCAGATCTGCAACTAAAGATTATATTTTTTACTATCGATGAATCTTTTACTCCCCCATTAATGGCCTATGACATAAGGACATGGCAATGTCTTCAGTTTGCTTGTCTTGTATGACTAACAGCATACACCAGAAGACAATAAATTTCACTGCCATATATGACAGTGAAAAACTGCAAATCGTCACACTTGAGAGGCTGGAACCAAAAGAACAATGATTTGAATATCAGAATAGGTGAGGCAAAATGTCGACCAACTAATCGATGAATTGACAAATTGTTGAGGCTCACATACTTTACCGACCCTTGTTTTTCAGCGATTATTCTATATCAGTTCAGTTCAGTTTCAGTCAACACCATTGTTGTTTTTGTATCCCACAGTTCCTCCTCTCGTTGTTTCTGTTTAGAATCGACAATTGTCATCACCTTCATCATTTGACGCACTCTCACGTATCGTCTTTACTTGTAATGCACACTTGTTGCCGTTTCTTCTCTTTTCTTTTCTCCCTCTGTCCCCGCGTCCCTGCTGCATCCTGTTGGATTCGACCTTCTCCGGGGCAGTAAATCTCGCTCTGTAATTGGAAAGCATGTGCTGGCGGAGCTTTAATTGGATATGATATGTGCAGAGGCCCTGCGAGTGAGCCCTGCTCCAGGGAGCCATCTGTTACTTCCGAGTTACCGTGTATAAGAGCTCTGTTTGCTCAGATACAGAGAGCTCATTTCTGCCTTGTCTTATTGAAGACTCCGCTTAAACTGGAGACTGTCTGATGAAAGCAGAACAGAAGAAAAGGACCTTGTTTGTGGCTCTCTTCAACATGCTGAGATTTTCCGTGTGTGTGTGTGTGTGTGTGTTGGTTCTGCACATGGGTGTGTCAGGCATCAAGCCTATATCTCGTCAGCAGCAAGAAAGAGCTGGCCATCCCAGCCAAGATAAAGTTTGTCCAAATGGGACAGAGAGCAAAGTCTACGCAGGACAAAGAGCATGAGCCTTCAAGTTTGCTCAGTCACCTTAATTACGCATCTGTAAATGATACATATACCACTGTCAATGTATTAATAGATCAGAGAATCTAATATGCGTGATGATCTAATACAAGAGTTACACCTAACACTGTTAATAATTTCTAAAAAAAGCTTGATGTCTATTATAAAACATGCTGTTAATATGCATTAAAACACACACAAAAAATAGTCAAAGAATCTCACAGAAACGGGTAAACTCACTAAGAAGATAAATCTTTAGACCCAAACAGCTGGCTTAGATTATTGGTCACAAGACCCTGGCTTCCCCTTATTTCTTATCCTTTTCTACCCCCCAGCCTCTGACTGTAGTTACTTGTACTTGCATATGTCCATTAAGTGCTACTTTATTCTTCTACTGCTGCTTTGCAGATAAAGCTTGTATGTTACATGCATGGTCCATTACATGTCAGAAAATAGAGTATAATAGACCTCACCATATCCTAAAGATCAAGGTGTCACCATCAAATGTCTTTTTTTTTATCAGACCAATATTCCCAAACCTACAGATATTACATTTTCTATCACATTAGACACAAAAAAGAATCCGGAATTACTTTTCCTGAAAAAAAATACTATTCATTGATTATTAAAAACAGTTGTTGTTTTCAGATCTGACTGAAATAGCCATAAAAACACACAAAAAACATAGTTTAACTATACTTCCCAGCCCTTCACCTCCACCGTATGAGGCATCTGTCTATCCTCTGATCAAAACTGTTGACATAAGACGCCCAGCAGGATGATAGACTGTTGGTTGATAAAGAAAAAAGTCTTGGGTCGCTTTGATGGGGCACTGACCTGGGTGTGTATGTTTGTGTACCATAACGTTTTTGTAAAGCAGGGATGGGCGCCGTTAAATACCAGGAGGTCATAAAGCAGTATGTAAGAAGTCTTGACTCTCATTAGCTGACCCAAAGTGCGACCAGTAATAGGCTTTGAGCTATGTGTTTCAGATGTCAAACTGGATGATTTCTGAGACACAGGCAACACACACACACACACACACACATATACATAGGTCAGCTCTCCACATGACTCGGCCTCCTAATGAGATGCAGCCTCAGGCTCTTCCTGAGTGTTGGGTCACACAACCTGTCAGTTCATCTCCTGCTCTGTGAGCATTCTGTAATCAGGGCTGTCCTGCTTGCAGTGCTGCTGGATGCGATAAAGAGCTATTTCAGGGATGCACTTTCCCTTAATCACAACAATGAACTGGAAACATTTGCAACAATCGAGAACCAGGAGAATGTCCGTCTGCAGCTCTCTGAACTGCTCAGGAATACTTGTGGCGTGTAATCAATACAGATTTATTCTCGAGGAGCAGCGGTGTGGACAGGAAGTTGAGAACATGCGTTGGGGGAACTGGATCTGACAGTCAGGTATTTCACAGGAGTGCTATTGTCTCACATGAATAGAAGTCCCCTGAAGTGCAGCGCTGCACTGAAACACAAGCATCGACACTGCCGTCTCTCTGTTTCTGTTTCTGTTACCGTGTGTGATTTGAAGTGAGGCGAAGCGTTGATAGCTGGAAGCAGACATCTCCTTGGCAACAGATACACTCCCGCGCTGCACTTGTTTAATTTCAGTGTCGAGAAACATAGAGGTGAAGAAGCATATAGCAGCTCTTATTAAGAGGCTTCAGGACAGTTATAGTTTGTCAAACCAGAAATGGTTGGACCAAAGGGCTCAGTGGGTAGAGCCGGACCTTCTTCTCCACATCCTCCTGAATATGTGCTCGCAGGCCGACCTTAGACCCACTTGTCACCCTGCCCGATGCAGTCGTCTCTTTTGTGTCTGCAGGGGATTATCCGGCTGTAGGTTAAATGCTGAGAGACAAGGCTCTCTGTTCGACCTTCAACGCATAGTATGTTCTTAATAGTGTATTAGGCTAATTCACTGTCTGTTGACATTGTTTAGTGTTGATGTCATTAACGTCTCCAGTATGGGTTACTGGCTAGCCGCCCTGTAAAAAGTCACCCAAAAAAAAAGATGTTGGGCTTCTAAGATGTCGTTTAAGAAATGCTGTGGTCTGTGGTAAACATACATTGTTGCAGCTATTGTTTTATCAGTCTTCGGCGTCATAGATTGTCTGTAAACTTCTCACAGTTGTTTCCATGCACTTTATTTACGGCTGAAATGTCCATGTCAATGGAAATAGAGAAGCAGCACTGAACTTTAAAGGTGGAAGCAATCACCACAATGAAAATAGTGGAAGAACAACCACTGTGTTTGTTTGTGTTAAGCAATCCACAATTATTATCTTCTTTTGTGATTTCCCTTTTGTCCATCACTTCCCCATGTCCATCAATAAACAGTATTTCTGTGAGACCGTAACATTTTCTTGGTATCTCTTTATCTGGATTATTTATGATTTGTATCAGAAATGCCTCACCATGTCATGAGCCAAGTTAAATATCATATAATTTTCCAGGTCTCAGCTTCAGCCTCCCTCTGTTAGCAACATCAGACCATAATCAGACACTCAGACAGTAATAATTGCATGTGAAGGCTTCATGGAAAAAAATTAGCCTTTATAGGATCAGTGTGGTTATGCAGATGCTAATCTCACAACAATTTGTACTAGATACATCAAAAGAATCTAGGGAACTTTTGAAATGTCATCACACCCAGAAAAACCCTCCCATATTTGTTTTCCATTGGCAGCACTGATATGGTGAAACAAAAGCCTCAGCTATGGTAAGTTAGTCGGTGATAAGGATGACAGTAGCTTCCCGATTGGGACTTTTGAAATGGTATCTAAATTACACCATTGGATTTCACAACTCATCACTCCTAAGATATTTATCTCTGTATTTGTTTTGTTGTCATGGTTATCAAATCTGGCATTCATTTAGATCTTGCCACATCAAGGACCAATGTAACGACCGTAGGTCACAAAATCAGGGTTGTTGTCTTTCCACAATCTGCTGGAGTTAAATATTCTGTTTGACGCTTTGTGGAGAATATAGTTATTTTAGTAGTAATTTGGGTGAATTGACCCTTAAAATATGTGACAAGAGGAGGAAAAGTTAACCTCCATGAAGCTTAAAGTCCCACAACACAATGATACCCTTGTTTGTGAGGCTATATTTGGGCGTAGTGGAGCTTTAGTGGACCTAAACGCTAACACATCAGCATTCTAACATGCACCAGGTGTTTACCATGTTCACCATCTTAGTGTGTTAGCATGCTAACATTGGCAAATCATCACTAAACACAAAGTACAGCTGAAAATGGTGGGAAATGAAATTCGTTTTGGAGGTAATGCTAGTTGGTCATAAACCACAAGTTTTTGACAAATTAAAATTCTGACTCCATTATGGTCAGTGGATCACTAATATCATTACAATTGATCATGGGGGGGGCATCAATATATCTACCAACTTTCCTGGCGATCCATCCAAACATCTTGATTTTGAATGTTAGCATGCTAATGCTAATTATCACTTATTTTTCTCCTCAATACCCTCTTTCAAACCTCTGACCTTAGCTAATAATTACAATGTCTTCAGTGTTCGATTAAGTGTATCAGTATTCAAGACACAAAGAGAGACTGGTACAATGTGAACTTTCCATTTTGACAGGAATGTGGAGATGTTGATAAGAAACTACACACACAGCTGATGAGGCTCCACAGAGTCCACACCGCCAGAGTTAATGGAACTCTTTTACTTCTTAACATCCGCCCCAGGGTTGATAGTGTGTTGATTGGTAATGTGTTAAATATTGTATTTCTAAAATGTTAAGGGCTGCCACTGTCTTTCCTTCAGCTTGCAGATCTATCTGCTGGCCCTGACACCGGCATGGTGCGCAGATACTATAGTGGAGCAAGTCACACACACCTGACTAATCGACAGAATGAAGTGTAAACTGAACTGCCCAGTTTCTATAAAGCATCACTCTATTAAGAATCTGAACAACGGCTAAAATGTGAGGGTTTTTTGATACAAGCAGATAAAACGTTGGCCTTTGAGATTTTATAGAATGTAAGGCATGCAACAATAAGGTGAAAGGCTTAACCTTCAACTCAGTCGTTCATGGAAAGACACAAGTCCTTGCAATTGATACTCTACTAAAATGCAACACAGCGGCTAATCAAGACAGGGTAGACTGGATCTGATTCCAGAGGTTTTTCATTAATCTTGAATCTCTCTGGTCCTCCAGTAAGATTAGTTCAATGCCCTTAAGTCTTAATCTAATCAGTCACAAATCGATGTGTGTTTTTCACGCTATGCTACTTCACGTATATAGATCTAGCCCTGCTTAACACTGCCACTCCTTGACTTTTATAACTGTCACCTGAGACTTTTTATTTCTCTCCCACCTTTCGTCACTTCCTCATCTATCATTGGTGATCGCGTGATTGCTCAATCCACTCCCCAAATACATATTTTTTGAAGGTGTGTGTGTACATCAAGCTCATCGTATCCAATAAAGTTTGCCGTCACAGGGTGTGTGGAGCCTGTGGTTTTTCATCTCTAAATGAGTTTTGGTTACCAGGCGATAAGGACATTAGGTCATGCGGGTCCTTATACACAGAAGATAATCAAATCACACCTAGGATCTGCTATTAGTCTTAGTTTTCTCACCATTTCCTTGTGCAAGGCGTCCACTGATCAGTAATATGTTCCCTCTCTGGCTGCTGAAAAGAGACTTTGAATGTAATCATTCAATCCATACAGATGAGGACCTGAAGTAAAAGGCTAAGCCATTATAAAAGACCTCCTATCTGTTTGTACCGCTCACAAGCTGCCCTTTGGCTTCCTCTGTTCCCCCATAAACACAAAGGGAAGAGTGGGAGCAGGCTCACGTCAATTCACACTGCGCAAATAGGAGGCAGCTCTTTCCTTTAAGATGGTCAAATGAACTTGGCAGCACTTGTGACTGATACAACTTGGTGCGGTAAACAGCCGTCACTTGCGGTAATTCTTATCTGCTGAGTCACAGCTTTTGTCAACTTTTTACACACTCAATATCAGATGTTTATTTAAGACACAGCCTCTGTGATTACAGCTTCAATTCTCCTGTCATTGTGGTGGACAGTGGGTAGGACCTTATGTTTTATGTTGGCAGCTGTTTGTTTGTGGACGCAACAAGCTTCCTGTAAAAAGCAGATGATCTAATTCGATTTTGAGTTAATATTCAAAGCTCCTATTTGCTGTGAATATTAACATGTGAATACAAGCATATTGACATGGAAATATCTGTTGGACACAAATGCAACTTCGAATGAATGCTAAAATTGCTGTATAGCACCTATTGATTATTTTTGTGCTATTGTTTTGACTTTAGGAACAACAGATCCTAACACGCATAATGTCACCAGCGATGGGAGAATGACGAACGAGATATCCACCACTCCTGCAATTTCTCACATGTCTGTAACTGCAAGCTCAAATTCAAGCAGCACCCACTCAACCAGCAGTTTTCCAACTTTACCATCATCCACCACAGAGCACTTAACAGCCTCAGTAGCTCCTACAACTATAGATAATGCCGCAGCAGAATCTACAACTACGAAACCATCCACCACCCATGCAGAGACGACCTTCTCCCAGCTGACACCTGAGTCCAGGACCACCACAGCAGCAGCAGTCAACAGCACCGTTACTGAGAACAGTAATTTAACCACAGGCAGCCCAGATGTCTCTCCCTCAGCTCCAACCAGTGGAACAACAGTGTCCACTTCAATCCAAGAGACAAGCCAACCCACCAAAACTAGTGAGACCACAAATACAACCACCACACCTAGTCCAGATCACACAGTGACTGCAACTACACCTAGCACACAGACCAGCAGCGACACAACCACAACTACACCGAGCACACAGACCAGCAGCGACACAACCACAAGTACACCGAGCACACAGACCAGC